ACTCAAATTAAGAGTCAAAGCAACTCTGTAAAGGATGCAATAAATAGTTATATCAAGAAATGTTCTTTAGCTCAGAGAGTTAAATTCTGCCTTTTCTTCTTGAAGTCCTTAAAAGGACCTAAGCAGGTCTAAGGAATTACTGGTTGAACTTTGGGTATTTTCCACATGTCCTTTCCAGTAAACTGACTAACGTGGGAGATCTTTTGGACCTCTCAGGTTCCTCTCCAATCTCCCAGTCATGTTAGTCTGTCACTAAATGAATGGAGATAATATCCTGAAACTCATTCCCTAAAAGGAATGGCAAAAAAATTAATAAGCTCATGTTAGTAAACAGATTGGCAAGCATTACATAAAAGGTACTATATAAACACAGAGTATTATCATTTCCTCTTATAATCACTTGGTAAAGGTCCTTTTAACTTTGATCATCTGTGAATGTCCTACAACTAAGACCCCATTATAAGATATTTTTCTTTGAAGGAAATGGTAGATAATTCACATGCTCTGAGCTTAAAAAACTAAATTGATCATATCCTTCCTACTTGTTTATGTAGTTCAATAGAGACTGATTGCTTACTTAAAGACCACACAAGTTCTCAAAGAAAGAAATCACTATCTTTTTAGCACACAGAAATAGAACTAAAACTCATTTTCTCTTTTGTATAGCCAGCATTTTTAAATGGAGAAAAGCCTCAAAGAAATCTTCATACTTTAGCTGAAGGCTTTAAAAGTGAAGCATATTTAGAAGTGGAGGTTCATGCCTTTAAGCACTTTAAGACTGTTAGTTAAGTCAGGAGCCATGAATTCAGTACTTTGAGATGTCTGAATAAAATATAACTACCAAGGTTCCCACTTTTTTCCTAAGTATTTCACACTATTTATTGGCATCCCTGGGAAAGAAGAGTCACTTTTAAGCAAAACTCTGTTTTTAAAGATAGCTTCTTTGGTAAGCTAAGTTTAAATTTTTTTTTCAACGTTTTTATTTATTTTTGAGACAGAGAGAGACAGAGCATGAACGGGGGAGGGGCAGAGAGAGAGGGAGACACAGAATCGGAAACAGGCTCCAGGCTCTGAGCCATCAGCCCAGAGCCCGACGCGGGGCTCGAACTCACGGACCGTGAGATCGTGACCTGGCTGAAGTCGGACGCTTAACCGACTGCGCCACCCAGGCGTCCCGGTAAGCTAAGTTTAAAGTTTAATCATTAATAAGATTTTAATTTGAACACAGTGACACACTCACATAATCAAACTACATCCTCCGTGTTTCTAAGATAGGATTTTTCAATGAAACAAATTAATATCAGAAATGAAAACTGCCTCTTTCCAAGGGGAAAGTTCTCTTCCTAGATTGTACATGAGATTCACTGTATGAGAGCAATTATTTAAAATAAGGAGGGCAAATGGATCATCTATTAATACTCCATTCCTTTAACTCCCTAATAATCGATGTTGTCATGAAATATTCCAAAAACACCTTATGAATATATGCATGTTCTAAAATATATTACTTATACTCTAAATCCAGAAGCATAAGTAAAAATTATCCGTTAACTAGGAGGGAAATAAAAAGCAATAGGATAGAAAAGTTAAACAAAAACTCTGGATTAAAATATTTAAATATAAAATAAACTATTATATGTTCTCAAAGATTCTTTAGAAATCATAAACTCCACCTTCCAGAATGACAAAGGTATCTTCATTATTAACAAATAAAATAAAGGTTTCACTTCATATTCACCTAATGAATTAATATTTGCCCTTTGGAAAATATACATAGGAGATTTAAATCTCTTAGTAAAGAAAGAAGTAAATGCTTTGTAGAAAGAAGATGGAGGAAAATGAGGATCTTTACAAGGGAGTTCAGAGCCATCTAGTGGTTGTTAATATACCGGTTTTTTTATTTAGAAAATGAAATAAGGATATGTAGTTCCATAGCCATGTTCATGTATTTCAAATAACATAAGGTTTTTCTTGCACTTGTGAATGTTTCATCCTCTGCTTTAGTTTAATGATTCTAGAGACTGAAAACAGCACCAAACTCTCAACATTTTAAAAAATTAGTAACATATTACTGAAATAATACTCAAAATCCAGCAAATGATCTATCACATAAAAGGGCATTTATGATCTAAAACATGATTCACTGACAAATGCAGGTAGGCATTTGTCTTCTACAAGCTGTTGGTGCTTCTCTACATTAGATCATTACACACATAAAACTCCAAATGGCTAAAATTTTTAAACTCATGGCCTTTGAAAGGAGTTCTCTGCTAAACATGGTCATAGATGCACTGAGTTAGAAGACACCTTAAAAGGCCAACTAGCTCACTGCCAAAGCCTTCAGACAGTCAAAGCAGAATCTCTTTCAAAGCTAACAGAAAAGCTACTCTATACCATTCTTCAATAATCTATTTCAATGATCCAAAGAACCCTGTCAAACAACTCTTTCCTACATCAAACTTCTGGCTTTCATGCTACAAATTAATTCTTATCTTTTTTATTCTTATTTTTTAATTCAATGCTTCCTACTATACCTTATTAACATAAACCTCTTCATATTCTTTTGTGTAAGCAGAGCACTTTAAATTTATGCCTATTGAATGTTATGGTGTGAGACTCAACCTATCCATCATTCCAATTTCTCTAGTTCCTTTTGAATCCTGGCTTGATCCAAAGTATTTGCTAGCTCTCCAGCATTATGTATTTCATAAACTTGATAGATATATTCTAATAGTCCAAGAACACTCTAAATTGATGTTACAGTTTTAAGAAATACTTGATCTTATCTGCCAGAATTAGCGTCTTCAGTGCAGCAACCCAGATTTTTCTTTTTTTTTCAGTTCAGCTTGAACTTAAAATAAAAAATGAATCAGAGGCACCTGGGTGGCTCAGTCAGTTAAGCATCTGACTTGATTTCGGCTGAAGTCATGATCTCATGGTTTGTGGGTTCGAGCCCCACATTGGGCTCTGCGCCGGCGGTGTAGAGCCTGCTCGGAATTCTGTCTCCCCCTCTCTCTCTGGCCTTCCCAGCCTCTCTCTCAATCTCAAAATAAATAAATAACCTTTAAAAAAATATGGGGCACCTGGGTGGCCCAGTCGGTTGAGTATCTGACTTCGACTTGGGTCATGATCCCGCGGTTCATGGGTTCGAGCCCCACATTCGGCTCTGTGCTGGCAGCTCGGAGCGTGGAGCCTGCTTCGGATTCTGTGTCTCCCTCTCTCTCCACCCAATCCCTCTTGTGCTCTCTCTCTTTCAAAAATGAATAAACATTTAAAATTTTTCACAAAAAAATAAATAAGTAAGGGGCACCTGTGTGGCTCAGTCAGTTAAGCATCTGACTCTTAGCTCATGTCATGATCTCACTGTTTGTGGGTTTGAGCCCCACATCAGGCTCTGCACAGTCAGTGCAGGATTCTGCCTGGGATTCTGTCTCTCCCTCTCTCTGCCCCTTCCCTGATCGCTCTCTTTCTAAAAATAAATAAATAAACATACATACATACATAAATGAATCAAACAAAACATTAAGCATTGCTTTGCACCCTTATTTCCACTTTGGGCCAAGAAAACATTTATGAAAGATAGCAGCTACTTAAAAATGTCCATTATTTGAACTGTTAGTTTCTGGTGCTTTTAATTTTTAGGCTATCTAAAGCTACTTTTGTCTTAATTACCTCAGCTGACAAAAGACTGACAATGCTAATATTAAAAATGTGTTGCATTTTAAAAACCATTCGATATCAATTTGAACTCTGTTAAGCAGCATTAAAATTTAACAGGCACACAATTTACATTAGGAAGTAACAAAGTAAATTGCATGAAGCTAAAATATCTTTTCTACTTAATTATTCTCTGTCTCATAATATTCTTTTAAAGACTCACTTAGGCAACAATTCCTTCTCATTGAAAATAAATCCTTAAGTTGCTCACACAGTGTGAAGCACCACCTGCCTAATTACAAATAGGAAAGTATACCTTTAAAGTGGACAGCTCTGGTGGTCACCATTTTAACCAAGTGATCAAACTTAGCATCACCAAGAGGGGGACAACCTATGTCATCGTGCCCCCTGACGTGATGCAATAAGTACACATCACTTACGTCACATTCTTGCCAAAAATGCTTAACCTAAATCTAAAAATGAGCGAGATAAATGTGGAACATTCTATGGGGTGCCTGGGTGGCTCTGTGGGTTAAGCGTCCGACTTTGGCTCAGGTCATGATCTCACAGTTTGTGGGTTGAGCACCGCATCGGGCTCTGTGCTGACATCTCAGAGCCTGGAGAGCCTGCTTCAGATTCTGTATGTCTCTCTCTCTCTCTCTCTGCCCCTCCCCTCCTCACACTCTGTCTCAAAAATAAACATTAAAATTTTTTAACAAAAAAAAAAGTGGGACATTCTAGAAAACAGTAAGTTCAGGTACCTTAAAAAGCCATTTGTCATGAAAAACAAAAAGTTGTAGATTGAAAAAGACTAAAGAGGATCAGCAACAAAATGCAGTATGTGAACCTTGCCTAGATCATCAATTTAAGAAAACAGCTATGAAAGACACTTTGAGAGAAACTGGAAAATTCTGTACACGGGACTGTATACCAGATGACATTACTGAATCACTGTTCACATTTTCAGGTAGGATAAAGGTATTATGGTTATGTAAGGAAAAGTTCTTATTTCTAGGAGATAAATGTTTAAGTATTTAGAGGTGGACACTCATGATTTTTTCAACTTACTTCCAAATGGCTCAGAAATATAGAATGTATATTTATGAATATCAGATACAGATACATATTTCTGAATATAGGTATGTTCCTGTATTTCTGAATACAAAATATAGGCTCTATGTGTACATACAGATTCTATGTATATATGTACAAATGTATATGTGGGTAGGGGGAGAAAGCCAATGTGGCAAAATGTTAACCATTAAAGAATCTAAATGAGGAATATATGACATTTGAAATTTTTCAAGATAAAAAGTTGAAGGAAATAAGAAAAGAATACATACCATGGCAGTTCTAGACTTGATAAACCAGTCAAATCTAAACTGAGGAGCATTCCGTACACACTGTCTTAATTCTTCATACACGTTTTCTCTGTCAAAGCCCATTTTGTGTAACATACAAATCAAGAATCTATCTTCTTCCTCAGTATAGTTCTTTCCTTTGCTGGTTCCATACTGAATACGTAACTGATGAAATGGAGCCTTGTATCTTGCAATCTATAAATTTAAACAAAATAGTGATTTTAACTAAATGTGTAATAAGTCAAAACTAATCACTGTATCAATTAAAACAATCTAATAATAATTTTTAAATTATGAAATAAAGTACTTTGGCATCCAGGGCTTTCTTGATACTGATCCTTCGTTGAATTCTTGCTTCTCCACGTTCAATCTGAGCCATAATTTTCTCAATGTCCTGTAATTCATTGCAACGTTCCCAAAAGACAGCTGAAAAACACAATTATTACTTTTCAATAAATGTACTACCATCTTAAACAAATGAATCCAAGGAACTATAGAATAAAGAATTAACAGGGCATGATGTAGTAAACTTACACTGTTTAAAACTTAAGATTCAGATTCATCTGTATATGTGTATATGTTCAATTATTAAATACCCCTTTTTATTTAAAAGTAAGACCTTGGGGCATCTGCGTAGCTCAGTTAAAGCTTCCGATTTCGGCTCAGGTCATGATCTTGCAAACCAGTCCATGAGTTCAAGCCCTGCGTCGGGCTCTAGGCTGACAGCTCAGAGCCTGGAGCCTGCTTTGGCTTATCTCCCTCTCACTCTGCCCCTCACTGGCTCACGCTCTGTGTCTCTCTCTCAAAAATAAACTTTAAAAAATTTAAAACACCTCAACAAGAAGGTTTTAGGTTAATGAATTTCTTTTCATGAAATATTATAGAATTTTTAATTATCAATCTCAAATGACTAGAATTTTTAAAGATACTACAGACATTAATTTAAGCTATGCTTTCATTCAAACATGATATAAAAGGGACCAAACACATAAAGTGAAACAGGAGAGAGGTAGCCATATAAACTTAGAGAACACAGCTTCCTAGCAAGAAAAAACAAAAACAAAACCCATTATCAACTCAAACTTCTTATGAAGCAGCAATTTATTACTGAAACTTTTTGTTAAATTTATCTTGAGAGAGAGCAAAAGAGAGTGCATGTGAGAGAGAGAGGGAGAGAGAGATTCCCAAGCAGGTTCCGTGCTGTCAGCACAGAGCCCAATGTAGGGCTCGATCTCATGAACCCAGAGATCATGACTTGAGCTGAAACCAAGAGTAGAACTCTTGAGAGCCACCTAAGCGCCACTCTTACCAAAACTCTTATTTCACTTTTGGAACCACTCACTAAACTTACAATATTTCCAACAACCTGTACCCTGTTTTCTAAACTTACCTGAAATAGTCTTTTCTCTTAAAAACAAAACAAAAAAACACAAAGTCACCCAAATTTTATATATGATCTAAATGATCTGGCTGCATTAGGTCACATCTTATGACTTCAGTGGAGGGTATTTTAATGTTTGTTTGTTTGTTTATGTTATTGAGAGAGAGAGAGAGAGAGAATCCCAACCAGGCCATGTGCTGTCAGTGCAGAGCCCGATGCAGGGTTAAATCCCATGACCATGAGATCATGACCTGAGCCAAAATCAAGAGTTGGATGCTCAACCGACTGAGCCACCCAGGTGCCCCAGTGAAAGGCCTTTTATTTTTTTTTTTAATTTTTTTTTTCAACGTTTATTTAT